TTTTTTTTTTTGGAGAGATTTTTGCTATAGGGCGCGTGCGCTCGCCAGACAGACAGAGAGAGACATTAGAGACAGAAAGCGAGAAATCACCCCCCTGGGGGGATGGTCACGCCGCAGTCCCTTCTCCTCCATTCTCCTCTCGGGATCTTGGGCACGCACGCACACGCGCCCGGCGTGAGTTTTAAGCCACCGGGTCCAGGACGCGAACCGCAGTCAACTACGTGGGAGTCCAGCGACATAGCCATTACGCTAACTGCTGGTTCCCCCAGTTATGAATATCTTAATCAGTATGTTTGTAAGCATACGTAGTTGCCATAGACATTATATATCTTTTTTTTTTTTTTTTTTTGGAGAGATTTTTGCTATAGGGCGCATGCGCTCGCCAGACAGACAGAGAGAGACATTAGAGACAGAAAGCGAGAAATCACCCCCCAGGGGGGATGGTCACGCCGCAATCCCTTCTCCTCTATTCTCCTCTCGGGATCTTGGGCATGCACGCACACACGCCCGGCGTGAGTTTTAAGCCACCGGGTCCAGGACACGAACCACGGTCGACTATGTGGGAGTCCAGCGATATAGCCATTACGCTAACTGCTGGTTCCCTATATATCTTGATTTAAAGAAGGTATCTTTAAAAACTTTGTAAGACCCTGATGGGAACAATTCCGAGATGTGGGCTGGATTAAAGAAGAGTTATGTGGATGCTTTTTTAAAGTTATAATATTCCTTCTTACATGCACCGAATGCATACTGAACAATGAGTGCTGGGCTGCAAAGGAGGATTTATTTTTGCCTCATCTTTAAGTTTGTCCACAAGTTAAACAAAAACTGACACGAGTGCTAAGGATCATAGGCACTATTCTTTTTATTTATTTATTTTTGAGAGGTTTTTGCCTTAGGATGCGTGTGCTTGCTAGGGAGAGAAAGAGAGACAGAGACAGTGAGAGGGAAAGTGGGAAATCACCTCCCGGGGTGGGTGGCCATGCCACAACCCCTTCTCTTCTATTCTCCTCCCAGGATCTTGGGCATAGACACACATGAACCCAGTGTGATTTTCAAGCCACCAGGTCTGGACCCCGAACCACAGTTGGCCATGTGGGAGCCCAGCAATGCAACCACTACACCATCTGCTGGTCCCAGCATTACTATTTTTACAAATTGGGGAGCAGCCAGGAGGTGTGATGATTAAGGTGGCTGGATCCCACAAGGCTGACTACAGTCTGAAGCTGCATGTGCATGTGTGCCCAAAATCTTGAGAGGAGAATGGAGAAGGGATTGTGGTGTGACATTCCCCCTGCGAGGGGGGGAGGTGCTTTCTCACTTTCCCTCTCTTCATCTTTCTTTGTCTCTCTCTGTTAATACACATGCCCTATAGCAAAACCAAAAAAGAAAAAAAAAATGTTAGAGCCAGCCAGGTGGTTTAGGATAAAGGTGGCTGGATCTCACATCATCGACTGTGAGGTCTGACCCCTGAACCTGGCAACTGCAAAAACACATGGCGCATGTTTGTGTGCACCCAAAATTTCAAAAGGTAAATGGAAGAGAAGGGACTGCAGCATGGCCATCCCCCCTGGGTGGGTGCTTGTTTCCTTTCTCTCTCTCTCTGTCTCCAGTGAGTGCAGGTGCTGTAGAGGAAAATTTTAAAAGATTCATACATTTATTTTTTCCATGAGTGAGAGAGACACACAGAGAGATATGAACACCCACCAGGGTCATGACACCACCATCCACTCCCAGCCTCAGAAAGCAATAGGTTAAGGGCATGTGCATGCCCTGTGTATCAGGTCTCCAGACAAGAACTCGGAACCTTCCCATGCGAGTCAGCCTCACAGAGCATAAGTAGTGCTTTACCATTGCACCACCATCTGGCCAATGAATTATTAACTACTGGAACAATGCACCCAAAAAGTACTGACTGAAGTCATCCTGAAGATAAGCTTCTGTGTGTGTGTGGGGGGCAGCAGTTAGCATAATGGCTATGTCACTGGACTCCCATGTAGTCAAACCGCGGTTCGAGTCCCACACCCACTGGCTTAAAACTCACGCCGGGCGCATGTGTGTGCCTGCCCAAGATCCCGAGAGGAGAATGGAGGAGAAGGGACTGCAGCATGGCCATTCCCCTGGGGGGTGACTTCTCGCTTTCTGTCTCTTTGTCTCTCTCTGTCTTTCTGGCCAGCACAAGCGCCCTATAGCAAAAACCTCTCAAAAACAAACAAACAAACAATAAAGATAAGCTTCTGTCATAATGAAAGACGTGCCTAAGGGGTCTGCTTAGCACAGAGAGGAAATGTGTATAGAGCGGACACTGAGCAAACGAGATCGAGGTCTCCCGTGTAACGGCTGGGAGACCTCAGGCAACTCGGTCTTCTGTGATTTGATCTCTTTATAAAACAGGAGTAATAGAATATACATCTTACGATTGCCATATGTATTGCATGAATATAGATAATGTTTAGAATAGCAAGCTACTAATACATGGGTAGAGTCTACAGAGAGGCAGAGTACTTTATAGTAATTAAATAGCCAAAAGAACAGGAAAGACATAAACAAAATAAATGCCTGTTACAGGACTTTATTTGTTACAGGGTCTGTTCCCAAAGTGTCCAGATAAGTCTCTGTCAGGGATGCTGCAGGAAGGCTTCTCCCTCTGGTTTGATTAAAGGGTTGGGTTAGATCATCTCCTGAAGTCTAGGATTCTCTGATG